AGGCTGTCCATATAGTCTCCGGATGCCTTTGTGATGAGAAATAAAAGATAGGTTATGAGTATATGTTGAGGTAGCAGAGAGCAAAACAATCCATAAATTCTTCCTATCCATCACCTTGAGTACATATTACTGAGTTTCACAATAACGTTGTAGTTCCTACCTTTCTATTTAACCAGAACATAGCTCTTTTATTGAGATGATGCCGAAGGTTTGAATTCACATTTTCATCATAGCAACTTTATTACTATGATGTAATCAGAAGTGATTTTCGTTTCCGTGTGTAAAGCTATTTTCTCTCGCCTTTAGAAGTGTCCCGCTTGGGACACCGATGTTAGATTTATAGATGATCTCACTTGGTTGGGAGGATTAGCCGTGAAAACAAAATGTTTCTTGTCTGATCACATGGATGCATTGGACGTTTGTACTCTTTACAGTAAGTCTCCCCTGATCGCTGATGCAGGCTAGTTTCCATACAACACCAACCGCCAATTTTGACACTATCTTTAAGAGTCAGTTAACAGCAAATTGAAAAATATTAAATGACGAATTCCCTCGACCCCTCTAATTGGTAGTGACTCCCTGCTACACGACTACACGAAAGCACTTAAAAATGCAAATATATGATGACGTCTCCACTTTAAATGCATAAGTTGTATCTAGGTCAATTGCTCACGTTTATTAATGATTAACGTGTTTTTCGATGGATACGCACGTGCTGTTTTTGCGGTTTAACTCATTAGTTATGCGACCTGTTATGGCGTAAGGAAAAGATACGAAATAACGTCAATCACTCGTAGATTACAATATGACGATACAACAGAGACCATTAATATAGAGCCAATCTGAGCTTTGATAAAACCATCCTAAACTAATATAAATTTCATAAATGATACTATCTGACTTTATTTATTCTACCAAGTCTCATTGAAAAAAATCATCGTTCGCATATCAAACGGCTTTTGATAATAGATATCTATTAAACCAAAAACAAGATGGTAGCACTTCATTGATTCCTTAATGAAACCTTCTTAATCATGTAAGAAAAAAAATTGTGACGGTCAATTAGATATCTGTGAATCAGTCGCTTTTATTCGACGTTAGAGGTCAATGTTTTGTGTGACAGCGTTAGTAACGCGTGTGACCGCTGTTTGCATGGTTAACAACATTCCGGCATCGTAAGCTGGTGGATTATTCGAGGTGAGATGTTTCGTTCATCGTTCAAGGCTTGGGTCAACTCCAGCCAGCTTAATGGCTGATTCTGAAATTATCTCTCTGGCGAAAATGTTGTTTAATCCCCCTCCCTCTCCAATACCTCCACAAACCATCGCACTTCCACCCCTAAACAGATCCCTTTCCGCGACGCAGCCGTTCGCGTTAAACGCTCCCCTCACTACGTGTTTTCCGTCACCGTGTAAACAAAATCAGGACCCACAAAGAAACATTTTTCCATTGTCATAAAACCCAACGACGGGGAAGTCGGGTTAAGTTACCGCTATTGTTACGATGACGTCGCAACAAAATTGTCCAATATAGGGAAGCCGCTCGTTCAATTGGTAGACTTTCAACTTGGTTTGGTCAAAATAATGCACTCGTACGTTCCGATTCAAATGTTCAAGCGTAATAATAGTTTACGAAGGTTATCAGTAGCAGTTTTTTGCTGTGATTGGATGTTGAGCCCGTTTGATTTGGTTGCCGTAACACTGCAACCACAATGATGTACCACTCAACGCCGAGACTCCAGTCTGTGCCATTACTGACAGCAGCGGCAGAAAGGTAAAGTTGATAGATACCAAGATGAATTCCGAAATTCTGAGAACCTCCTGAAAAGATGTCAGTTTGATTTGTTATGAAATTCAAGCGAAGATACCAGTTAGTTGCTGTAAACCCCGTGGAGCACTTCCGTTAATACAGACTTTCAAACTTTAATGGTTTTGGTAACCCAGTAGGATTTTGTAATGAAACTTTTCATATATTGAAAATGTTATTTCGTTTTCACTCATTTACAGAATGAAAACATGTAACATTTTATTAAATGAGTATATCTGCAAAAAGAAATCAAGCGTAAAACAGTGTTTCAGAAACTCCGATTGAGGCCTGACCAATTAATCATAAGCAGGTTAGTTGCTACTCAGTCTATACTGAGAGAGACAGAGAGAGAACTTTAGATTTACCATCCGTCCACCCATAAGGTACATGTAGTATGTATCGCTTAATATCTGGGCATGTCCCGTTATCATTTGTTGGAGGAGGAATGCAGCGCTAAAATATTGGATTAGGGCCATTTGGAATCCTTAATTGCATTTTCACTTTCCTGCAAACGACAATCCTTCTTACCTGTTATCCATGGGCGATATTTATTTCCATGGCGTTTGCTTCACGTTCGTCAGTTTGATTGGCAATTTCTTGTTTGCTACATACACTTATTTTGAGAACGTTTCATAGCTTGAATCGACGAAGATTTAAAAAATGTGTTTTGTCAATGAAGCAGAAGACGCTTATCCATCCGGAACACATGACTGTAGTCTTGTACTGTTGCGAATGTCTCAATGTAAATATTTTTCTTTCCTTATTTTAAGGTCATAAGCTGTCAACTTCTGTAGATAAATCTTAAAAAAACATCACCAGCAAACAATTTTCCAAGTTCAAACTAAAAAAACAAATAAATGTTGAATAACAAATTACTAGTTAATTCGACTGATCCCACTTTATATAACGTTGAACATAAGTCTAGCTGAAGAAAAAACCCCTACTTCTATTTCAATATATATGCGCTGGCCTAAACAACATGTCCATCTTACTGAGTAAAGCAAATCAACACCAAGTGAACATCACGTCAAGGATATCGCTGCTAAAACAACCTCGTTACTGCGGTATGAAAAACTGCATTTTTTTTATCATCTATCTTTGTTAAGAAAATTTAGAATCGTTTATGAGGACTATCGGCGAGATTCTCGGAAATGCCTCAAGTTTTATTGCTATAAATATAGAACATGAGACCTATTTTAGAAAATCAATGGTTACGACTACTTCTCTATGTAAATCCTAAATTAACGAACATTTGCGAAATTTGTCGGCCATTACGTATTTATCCTCCGTGTCGTTCGATTATACTCGCTACATCCTTAACTAATTCCAACAATTTCCTTTAGAAATCCATATCACCATGGTTCCCCACGAGAGGACACGAGGAGGAGGTTTCCGGTATCTGAAAATAGATCTGCATAATTTTATTTTTAATACTCCAGAAGATAGTCATACCTAAATTATGTTCTAAAAAACCGTTGACAAGGGTATTTATATGTTAACATTAGTCGTTGTACATGGTTCATTTTGAGTATCCGATGAATAAACTTTTAAGATACTCCTTTTCAAACAATTATAACACCCCTGGTGTGGGATGTTTCTCAGAACATTGCCAAAATAAATATTTTAAAAGATTTAAGGTATTAAAACATATTTTTGATTTTTTGTTATTGAAAACTTATTCATATATCATTAGCACAGACAACAGCTTTCCCGAATCTCTGGTTTTCATATCCGTTCCCTGTGGCAGACTTTACCCCTATCTCTGTGCACACTCGAGTGTGACATGGAGTTCCAGCGTAATCTCCTGTTAACATAGGATTGTGGAGTATCAGTCAGGGGTTTACACCCATAAATGTCGCTGGAACCAAGCTCCGCCATAAATTGCTTTCATTCACTGACAGACGTAATCCCCATGTGTCTAGGTTTTGTTGCAAATTCCCTGAAAATTCTCTGTTAAGGTTGTTGGTATATTTTATGCTTTGGTTTACTCGGTAAATAATTTTTTATACGGATTGCGAGCAATTTAAAAAAAAGGATGCAAGTTTTGAGAAAAATACGGCAACAACTGTATACCATAGCTGAGAGAATAAAAATTCAACAGATCAATTTAGTTGAATACTTTACAAATATGCTCATCGTCACTATACGACCTGATCACGTTACGTAACCTAGACTTCGTGTGTGATTGCACGGGACTATACGTCCCTTGACATACAACTACAACCCTCGCCATTGGTCAACACCAGCCAATATATTGATAAACTTGCCGAGTGACATAATAGATTAGACTGTTACTTTGCAATGGTAATTAATACTGTGGTATATGTAAGGCCATGTTAGTGTATATATATACATGTACGATGTAATAGAGATTTACCCAAAGTATCTAATGTATTTACACCAGTCGCTGGTACCAACTTTGCAGCAACAAATTAAGTAAATCAATGATCATTTAACTCATTTTAATCAGTCAACCTGCTAGCAGTTTGGACCTGGATCTCACGGGAGATTGTATTTCGAGAGAAAACCAATAATTCGAACATATCATTTGACAATTACAACTGTTTCCGATTGTCATTGCCGCCAACATACGGTGTTTATATAAACAAATGAACATCCAATACCAACATCACGCCCATTCCTACTAATGCTTTTTAACATTGGCATTTGTACATGGTAACAGAAGGACAATAGTAGTAAAACTATGGGGATCACAGAGGTATTCCCGTGTATATGGCAAGATCAATCTGTAGTAGTGGCTCTCCTTTGTTAACACACAAGGTTACAACGTTATAAGTGGAGTGACTACACACCAAACAAGTGCTCCCAGGTAGCGCGTGCTGCCAGCCCCTTTCCCTACTGCTGCTAATGCTGAGGGTGTGACAATCACACCGGCATCGATCTGTCATTAACCTTCAATGGGAAGACACCTGTACAGCGCGCGGAGGTGAGAGGTCAGGCCCACTGAACACAGCCACTGACGTAGCACCAGGGACCGGCCAATTGGGAAGAAGGCCTGAAAACGGTGGCAGGGCACCTACGCTTTCTTTAGCGCTACATAAAAATGAAACCTGGACGACGAAGTGAGATTTTACAGACTAAGACAGATAAATTGTGGGTCGGTGGCTTTCCTTTGATACGTGGACTGTGTCCGTTTGAAGTGACCACTGTTGTTTCGTTGCTTAAGTAGGACCATGAAGGTGTCCCTTCCAATGTTCGCGTACTGCCTTATTCAAGTATTTGCCTTCGTTTCTCATGCTGCTAGTTTAACTGCTCTAAACGAAACACAACTTCTACTCTCAAGAACTTTATCTTCCATTAACTCAGCATTGACTTTTTTCAACAAAGAATATGAAAATGTCAACTTGGACACCGTTATCGGGACACGGATACTTGAAGGTAAGATTTGTAAAGATCGTAATCAGTGTTGTCCTTGTATTTGGGTACTCTGGACGTGTGGGTCATATCAAAGAAGATATTATTTATATTATTATATAAAATATATCGGTTTCCAATCAACATTTCAAATCATGCAATTTCAGATATTTTATTAAAACACATAAAACATGACATGTTTGTGATTTTTAATTGGGGTATTTGTTTTTGTTTTCTTTCTTTCATTCTTTACTGAATTATTTGTTTTTGTGTGTGTTTGTGTTTTTTCTCTCTGATTTCCTTGTTTGATGCTCATATGCTATTGTCAAAATAGAAGAAATGGATGAGAGACAAGCTCTGACATCTTATAGACTCTTTTCCAGATTTTTTTCTTCAGATTTTCCAGTATCATCAAGTATGATACATTCACATCGTCTGACAGAGAAATATACATCCATGTCTATGCATATAATAATGAATTTATATTAAATTTATGCCTTGGCAGATGTTTTTGTTTATATCAATTTGTAATTATGGTGCGATGAATTATTAAAACTGTATAATTTATCATTAGGATGCGATGAATTAAACAGTTTTGATACCGGCTGCACAAGTTTATTTGTAATAGCATACACTACCAAACGACATGCTAAACCCAACTAACATTTACTGGTAGGTCAAAGTAAAGACTGATTTTACGGACGATTTACATAAAATATCGTCTTCGCATTTGTTCAGCATTATTTTGGTACAGTATCACATAAAATGTTCGTTGTATAGAAACTTTCGTCATTTTCGTGGTTAGAGACAAACCACTGAAGAAAAGAAGTATGACTTAAGATGGAACAATTGTGTCCATAATTATGATACATCCACGAAGGATTTTCCCCAGAAATTGTGACTTCGGTGAAAACAGCGAACGACTCATGAACAGCATTTTTTATGTTATAGACTTTTGTTGAATGTTGAACAGGAAATATATTTGGAAATAAGATAACTTAGTTGTAGATAAAACAAAAAGACAAATAATACAAAAAAGATTGTGAGAGTTTACTTTTATGGATTTCAAGTATGAAACAGTTAAGAAATATCTACATAAACACGACAATTTTAAATAACTAACGTTATGATGTTAAATAAAATCGACAGATTTGGTGAGGTATCGGGAGGTTTTAATCCTTAACTATCACAGGTAAGGTGAAACATTTGTAGGCTTTGCTCATTTACCATCATAGGAAAGGTGAAGTGTCGGTAAGCATTACACATTTACCATCATAGGAAAGGTGAAGTGTCGGTAAGCATTACACATTTACCATCATAGGAAAGGTGAAGTGTCGGTAAGCATTACACATTTATCATCATAGGAAAGGTGAAGTGTCGGTAAGCATTACACATTTACCATCATAGGAAAGGTGAAATATTGGTAGGCGTTACGCTTTACCATCCAGGAATGGTAAAATATCTGTAATTTAATCCTTTACCATCATAGGAAGGGTGAGATGGCGGTAGGTTTTAATCCTTTACGATCGCAAGAATGGTGAAATGTCTGCATGTTTTTAATCCTTCGCCGTCGCAGGAATGGTTTTACTCTTTTAGCATCACTAGAGTAAGCCTCCTACACATCGTAACATCAAACTAGAACCTTTTTTTACAGTCTAGACGCCGATTTGCATTTTGACGATGAAAAGGATTCTAGCAACTCCGCCATTAGTGGCAGGGTGTACATAAATATAGTAAACAGATGTGATTCTGAGTCTTTATCTAACCCAACAGATTAGTCTAACAATAATGTACCAATATCTTTCCCCCCGTATAAGTTTTTAATTACACATTAAGCAGTTGTTTTGATTCAACGTATGCCTCTCCTTAAATGAGCGATTCTTATGGGACCTTCAATTACACGCGTAAGACAATATCTAGTGAGTTCATTTCGTCTATAGAAAACATCTATTGAACCAAGTCAACCCTGTTAAAGCACTTATCGAAATACAGTCATGTATCGGTGGTGCCGTGGAAAAAGGATTGTCCTAAGAGAGGCGCTGTGGTATTGCGTGAAGACCGAACCGTGCCGTTCCCTGTCAGGTCGCTCTGCCAGGCTGGGTATTGGAAGGCATCAGTATTCCCCGTGGACAGTCAGATGTATGTCACCGTATCTACTTGATTTTTCAAAATTAGCTCAACAAAATAGTACTTATCTCTGTTTTAAATCAAAGTATGCTTCACTTGTTAAGTTACAAGACTTTTATAACTAAGGTTTATTTGACCATGAAATACGGTTACAAGATTATAATTCTATGGTATATTATCAGTAATATTTAGTTGCTATATAACAAGTTTGAATTAATATTACAGATGTGTGATATTTATTTACTGGTTAGTGGCCATCATATTATAATCATGTTTTAAACACCCGAAATATTTTCATTAATATTCAAATGTCAATTAAAAAAAAGATTCATTTGTAAAAAAAAAAAAAAAAAAAAGAACTTTCGACTTCGCGATAAGCATGATGCGGGAGAAAGAATTTCATCAACCTGTAAAACCAATAAAAGACATCTATCAATGTACGTTATCTGTTACTTTCTCTTTCTTACCCAGATATAGTGTTCAGTAAGCTCAATTTATCTAACGTGATGTTTTTCAATGAAATAAGATTTTACAATCTAATCGTTATTTTGAGTTTACTAGCAAATGGTTTCGAGTCATGGAATGCTAATCACACGATCTTTTAATTGAAAAAAAAAAAGTAATTTCAATCTGAATGGATTTCGGGTTAATATATATCATTTGATTTGAAAACATTTTTGATAACAACAATCACACAGACAAAAGACAACATCACAGAATCAACAAAATAACACCTACACCTTAACGGAATTATATTTCAAACAAAAAGTTGACGAATCCAGGAAAAAATTTGAAAAAAGGCAGACGCTTTAACAAGAACAATGCGAAGTAGACAGAGAATAACACCAGGTCTGCCAACTTTTAATTGAAATATTACAATAATTTGACACAATATTGTTTATTTTTACAATGTTACCCGCCACAGCAAGCCTCTCGATATAGCGATATTCCTATCTGATGGACATTTTACTTGTTCCTGGATCATGTTTTGCGACAGAACATATATGATATAATTTTTGTAATAAATTACCATTACGAAGTAGACTAAATATTTTCATTGCAAATTTTAAATTGTATGTCTAAGAACAAGTAAATATCAGAGCCCAACACCAATTATATTCCTTCTGCAAGCTGTTTGATAAAATGATTATAACCATCAACATGTTCAGTACTCTTAGCAGTAACGCAGAATTGAACAAACTCATGAAATCAAACTGCCCCACTTCGCGTGCTGAATTCGGCCTTTTGTAATAATCAGGTAAAATATTTCTGCTTTTAAAATCTGACGTAAGATTAATTGTTCCCACATGCTTGTTCATAAAGAATATCAAAACCAAAAAGCGCTCAGCCTAACACACTATGAATCAATACGCACGGAATTAATGTTTTCCATCGGGGCTGTTCATGACGCCATGCAATTCTCATTAATATCTTCCACTTTTAAATCTTTTTATTAAAAAAAAGTTTATTGAACCTTCTTGTCCAGGTAGAATGTGTTTTGTCAGAGTTAAGATATCTTTACATATATAAAACTACATGAAAACTTTTTTATCAAGTATTTTTTTTGTTGATTGGAAACGAAATATTTTTCCAAAGTGCTTAATCTTCGTTGTTCACTGGAGACTTTATCAGTGTTATTCGGGACGAACCGCTTCACTTGACAATCGTGTTTCAAGTTTGTAATGTTGCGTCACTGACGTGGGAGAATACAACAGGAGCGCAATACGACATTATTTTAATGAAAGACTAGACATCAAAAGAAACATTGTATGAAAACTGAAACAGCGAAATTGCTGTTCAGACTAGAGCTTTTAATATTGCTCTTTTCCGACAATAATGGCATACAATTCTCAAGGCAACAGTACTGGATAACGGTAACGAAATGGACGTTAAAACCGTCAGAATAAATAGTGACAATTACCCCTGTTAAAACCCGATTCAGGTAAAGGCCATGTGATAGTTACACATGCGAAGCAAGTGTTGTAAGTGTTTCAGAAAAAGATCCGATATATCACTACAGTAGTTGACATTTACATGCCGAAAGGATATCCTGTCTTTACTTAATAAAATTTGACTAGCAGCATATACTCTGAAGGTATCCATTTTGCTAACTTAATTACAGAAAACCGCTTCAATATTGAGGGTATATTATTTTAAAAGGTCATATTTCAGTCGCGCATAGGGGGAAAAGCCTTAACGTTGTGCAGCAAATACGTCACTTCCTACAATATATCGGTTGTAACCAGGTTACGTGGCCAGTGCCGTCAGGCTACAAAATGATCGAATTGTTGTTTTAAATAAAATCTGCAAGCTCACATGACAATTATCATTGTGCCATTGGCACTAACGCAGAGTGATATACACTCTTAGCTTTGTAGAAGTATACAAATTGCACTTTCAACAAGTCATGAAAATGGTGTAAATCATCATTTATACTGTTGTATTTTTTAAGAGATGAAGGCTGGTAAAGATTATTGGAAGGTTTAATCCCCACCATCATGACATCATTCGACTATCATTATTTAATATCCTTGTGCGATTTACCGTTAGATGGTCCAGTGATGGTTGATATGCCTGGTAGGTGTGTTATATCTGGTTATCTTTTGAGAACGTGATTTCCTAAGACCTCGAAAACAAGATGACTTCAGAATAATTCTATCATGAAAATAAGTCTTTCGTTTCTGAAGTAGATAGGCCTGCATTTACTTACTATCAAAGGAAATGAACTGATTTTTATTTTCCAGTTTTAAGGGTATTGTTTGGAATGGTACGTTAACCATTCCGGCAAATTAAGATTGTTATCACAGAAATGTTTGTAAAAGTAAAAAAAAAAAAAAAAAACAACAAACAAACAAACAAAAAACAAAAAAACAAAAACCAAACAAATAAAAAACATGTGAATCTCAGTCATGTAAAGTTCTCAAATCCAGAACCGAGCTAACAATAACACTCGGATCCATCAAGCATGCGAAAGGAATTTATTTTGACAGGAAATCATAGTCTGTAAATAAAACGACCTTCTAATCATATATTATTAATGTGAGCTAGTATATATAAACTGTTATTCTTTATAAAAGTTTCAACTGAAATGCTTTTGTCACGCGAACGCAGACTTGGACTATCCTTTTACATCCCGGTCATAGCTAATCCAAGTCAAGTGAGGATGGATGGCAAAGCACACCGAGTAATGCGGAAAAACCAATAATGTCAAGACCATTCTCAAAACTTACGGAATTACCTTAGAGTTATTATATGATGTCATTTGATTTCAACACCTGGCAACGTACACCAGTGCGCGTTTTATTACAGCCACAACTGCCTCTGGTCGGACATACGATGGACGTGTTGACAGCTTTGCGAGTTCAACAGCTGCAAAGTGCAGGGTCTGACGGGAGAACTCAGTGATATCATTGTATACGGCGTGTAGCCTTCTACAAATCACTGACGCCACCTCATCAATGAGCCAGCGGTTATTGTCGGGATTTATAGCGCTAGACGTTAATTGAATATAGAAAGTAGTACTTCATCAGTTGTATAAATTTCCACGTTATTCTTTCTCAGGAGGAAGAAATAGCTAAACTTCGGATGCATTCTTTCCACTAGAGGAATTCGTTAAACAAATGTAATTATCAAATTCATTTCGAATTAATCTTACCTAAGAGGTGTAGATATTAAACAATGTTCTATCAATAACATGATTCGAGATAACGAAAACATAAAAAAGGACGTCCAGAGACATGTGATTAGACAACAGTAATTATCTAATAGGTCTAGAAACTAAAATCAGACTAATAACCCGGGCAACATTTATTGTCTCCGAGGTCTGAAAAATACAAACAAACAAACAACCCGGGCAACATTTATTGTCTCCGAGGTCTGAAAAATACAAACTGACCAACAACCCAGGCAATAGTTATTGTCTCCGAGGTCTGAAAAATACAAACTGACAAACAACGCGGGCAACAGTTATTGTCTCCGAGGTCTGAAAAATACAAACTGACCAACAACGCGGGCAACAGTTATTGTCTCCGAGGTCTGAAAAATACAAACTGACCAACAACAACGCTCCGAGGTCTGAAAAATACAAACTGACCAACAACGCGGGCAACAGTTATTGTCTCCGAGGTCTGAAAAATACAAACAGACCAACAACCCAGGCAACAGTTATTATCTCAGAGGTCTGGAGAGTACAAACTGACCAACAACCCAAGCAACAGTTATTGTCTCAGAGGTCTGGATAGTACAAGCTGACCAACAACCCAAGCAACAGTTATTGTCTCAGAGGTCTGGAGAGTACAAACTGACCAACAACGTGGGCAACAGTTATTGTATCAGAGGTCTGGATAGTACAAACTGACCAACAACCCAAGCAACAGTTATTGTCTCAGAGGTCTGGAGAGTACAAACTGACCAACAACGTGGGCAACAGTTATTGTATCAGAGGTCTCAAGAGTACAAACTGACCAACAACCCAGGCAACAGTTATTGTCTCAGAGGTCTGGATAGTACAAACTGACCAACAACCCAAGCAACAGTTATTGTATCAGAGGTCTGGAGAGTACAAACTGACCAACAACCCAGGCAACAGTTATTGTCTCAGAGGTCTGGAGAGTACAAACTGACCAACATCGTGGGCAACAGTTATTGTATCAGAGGTCTCAAGAGTACAAACTGACCAACAACCCAGGCAACAGTTATTGTCTCAGAGGTCTGGATAGTACAAACTGACCAACAACCCAAGCAACAGTTATTGTCTCAGAGGACTGGAGAGTACAAACTGACCAACCACGTGGGCAACAGTTATTGTCTCAGAGGTCTCAAGAGTACAAACTGACCAACAACCCAGGCAACAGTTATTGTCTCAGAGGTCTGGAGAGTACAAACTGACCAACAACCCAGGCAACAGTTATTATCTCAGAGGTCTCAAGAGTACAAACTGACCAACAACCCGGGCAGCATTTATTATCTCAGAGGTCTGAAAAATACAAACTGACCAACAACCCAGGCAACAATATGTAACTAAGATGTAGTCTTTTGTTCCGAAGACAAACAATGGTAAACGATTTGAGAGGTTTAGAAAACCTAGCTTTGATTAACATTAGATGTATTTTGGACCTGTCTGAAGATATAAAACTGTTATTAGGTAGGTATAGAGACCAAATAATTAATCAACATCAGTAACATATATATACATAGAAGAGGTTAGGTCCCGATTTCCCTTGTAGTCATAGTTAACCAGTGGTAAGTGAATTATTAAAATTGTTGTCACAAGAAAGAAAGAAAGATAAAACTGTTGAAGGATGAAAACAACAACAACAAAAAACAAACAAACAAACAAACAAAACGAAACAAAACTACATGTGAAAATAAGCATAACCTAAACTAAAATTCAAGTAAGCTAGGACGAAATACAGACAAAAGACAGATTTACATGGAGACTCCTGAGTAAATACAATGAAAATAAGACCATGTGTTCCAAGTACCAATAAATGTACAAGTACGCTATGACGAATGATGTCTCCAGTTTGGTTTTATCTATATTAGAAAATTTTCATTTACCATTGCCTATCTCTAAGCAGCTTTTAATCAACAAGGGCTTAATATTTACAGATAATAGCCACACTGAGAGTAAATACGACACGAGACAGAAACACTGTTACAGTAATACTCGACAGGGAGATGTAGAAATAGTCATCGTTAACGACAACACATCATAAAATCAACCAAGACGAACTATGAGATATTGAATTAGTAAGACTGGTAAAAGTATAGTTTACTTCTATATATTTATACGTGTTCAGCTAAGACGAAAACACTACCAGTTTGTCCATGGTGACCATTAATTATGCATTATATATTCAATGAAAGGAACTGGATATCAAATCACAATGTTATAAAGCCTCATATTGTCCTGCAGATATTCAATCTTTATTGTTTCTCTCAACAGGTCAGTTCAAGGTTTTACTGGACATGATTGGACGCTCCCCCGGGGAATGGCAGGTGGATAGCCACACCCTGATGGAAATTCAGCGATTACAACGGACAGCTGGTAAAATCAGCGACAAAGCAATACCTTATATTGCGACGCTAACACCACGCTATTTTTATAGTAAGTTACCTAATTTTGATTACTGTGATTCTGTTATACTATACTTTAGGACTGCTTAAGTAAATCTTCTGTACCAGGGGTCTTACCGAAACCACACTACAAGATTAAAACCACGTGGACAGAAGGAAGCATGGTGCCTTCATTGCCCCACCCGAACACCAAGTATAAGTGAAGTGATAACATGTTAGTAAGTGTTATCATCCTGATGTACGTTATACTATATGTAAGTGCTCTGTGATGAGGGACAAACGATGTGATACAAAGGATAGCAGTGTCTTAAAAATGCTTTGAAAAGCCAATAAAATAAAAAAAAATAAGGATAGCAGTGTCCTATATGTACAGTTTTCAAAGATTTATTTTTCCTACATGAATGGAACTCATCAGGAGAGCCAGAATGTATAAATTTTTCAGAAATGGAAACGAACTTTAAGTTTTAAGATTTTCCGCTTAAATAGACAGCCATACGGTCTTGTGTGTTATCTAAAAACAGCCTCAAGTACTCCAAACAATACCCACATTTTGACTTTTTTTTCGGGAGAGAAATGGTAGTAATCGCTTATGTCTGTTACAAATATAGCCATGAGGACGTCACTACAGTAGCACTTTTGAAGGCCGGACATAAAAATATCGTCATTGGTATTTGTAAGTCTCGATATTACTGACAGACGAGGCCGGTGTAGTACTCGGTGTAATCTGTAACACAAGTCAGGACTGTATCGTATCTACTGTAACATAATAAAGTCGATCCTGTTAATAATTAATGTGTTACCCAAGAGACACTATATTGTTGACAGTCGGTGCTGACCTGACATTTGATACAATAGAACGTTACTGGTGTATCTTCTAGTAGGTTTACTGCAGTGATAGATACGTAGCTACTATCGACATGAACTTTCGCTTGGTTACCACAGTAATAGATACGTAGCTACTATAAACATGAACTTTGCTTGGTTACCGCAGTGATAGATACGTATCTTCTCGAGACATGAACTTTGCTTGGTTACCGCAGTGATAGATACGTAGCTACTAGAGACATGAACTTTGCTTGGTTACCGCAGTGATAGATACGTATCTACTCGAGACATGAACTTCGGTTGGTTACCGCAGTGATAGATACGTATCTACTCGAGACATGAACTTCGTTTGGTTACCGCAGTGATAGATACGTATCTACTCGAGACATGAACTTTCGGTGGGTTACCGCAGTAATAGATACATAGCTACTCGAGACATGAACTTCGCTCAGTTACCGCAGTGATAGATACGTGGCTATTATAGACATGAACTTCACATCGTTACCGCAGTAACAGATACGTAGCTCCTCGAGGCATGAACTTCGGTTGGTTACCGCAGTGATAGATACGTAGCTACTATACACATGAACTTCGCTCAGTTACCACAGTGATAGGTACGTAGCTACTCGTGGCAGGAAGCTGCTTGTTTAACAACAGTGATAGGTATTAACTACTCGAGGTACGAAGGTTGACTTGTCAGTATGGATGTTTGATTGATTAGAAGCTGGTTACCTGGTTAGTGCTTACTAAATGTTCATGTCCTTGAATAACGAGTTTCCTCTCTCGATGTAAAGTGATAGAAATACCTCAACGATTTCAATACAACAACACATAATGATTGTTCAAAAATAGCTACAACGGGTCCAGCGGAAACATAAATATAATGATCTGTACTGATAAACACTTATTTACATGCACATAAACTGTTCCTCTCTATTTAACACGTAAGAAAAGAACTCGTGTTGACAGTTATTTCTGGTGATATACCATTATTCTATAACCATAATCAGTGATTGTTTTATTGACGTCTGTACTTTGTTTATTTCAAATGTCTCCGCCTCCTTCTCTGGTTCGTTTGATATGCTCCTTAACCCTTTTTGACGAGTGTTTTGTATAACGTTATCATATAACAAGGTTGTAGTCGGAGTGATGCAAGTTTTCTTATGTCTGATAACTGTACTTTTCATCTAGTTTTTCGGTACCTCGCGCCAAAGGTTAGGCAGCTCTCGCAAATTAAATTGCATCAGATCCCTCAAGGGACTACTACTGCCTTAATAAGGGGTTGCAGTTGATAGGGTTCCGAACAATGAGAAGTTTGTCGTAACCTGCATGTCACGTTTTGATTTATTTGAATAGTGGCACGGCATGCACTTGACGTTCTTCTTAAATGATCCGATATCTGAAATATTACAAAATCTTCTGTAGCTTTGGGCTAATGCACCTCCCCATCTAGATTGTGTCATTTCTTTCAATGGCTTTGGATTTTTCTCAATCGCCTACTAATATTTAGGCCCTTAGTATCACTGACAAGTCTTAGAAGGATGAAACAGCTGTGTGATGCAGTTTAATTCACTGTTTGGTTCGACTTTACCTTATCTAAATTTATATTAATAGGCGCTATACACTTGTATGTCGCCTGTACATTTTTTTTTTGGTTCAACACATGTTAAAGGGAAATGCATTGTGATGACAATGGATACTACCACAACTACGGGAGTATTCGTTAAATTAGTGATGAAAACACAAGGAATTACACAATTATCGAAGTTAGAGTTACGGCGTAGGTAATGAGCTTAGGGTAAAAAGGTGAAAAAGTGCGATATCTGTAATATAACTAGGTTTACGGTTAGGACATATGAGGTTAAAATGTCCGATATCTGTACATGTGATATAGTGAAGGTTACGATATTGATAACGAGGTTAGGGCATAATAGGTTAAAGTGTGCCATATCTGTAATGTAGTTTTTTTTGTGATATTGTGAACCCATAAAATGGAACTAATTTCTTCTATGAGAACATTTGATTTTTCCACATTGCACATTACCATATTCCACTGAACTGACGGAAAGCCTTAATTCTCTTGCTATGACTATACAAATATATGGTTGTGAATTACGCTGGAGCGTGACTCGAGAAAACGTCAAGCCGTAAGACATACTAGTAAAGAGATTGACATGTACGATACTGTAGAATAGGTATTAGTTTAATCAGACCTGAGATGTTAAAATTCTGGAGACGATTCTACGAGAAACGGAATATCGGTACCTATCGGTACTGTGGTAACGTGATTGGAGTAGGATACAGTTAAAAGTTCGGGCGAAGACTCTGACAACGGTCTATTGTTTGTTGGCGGTAAGGAAGTTAGGTAACGGGATTGGAGTAGGATACAGTTAAAGGTTCGGGCGAAGATTCTGACAACGGTCTATTGTTTGTTGGCGGGAAGGAAGTTAGGTAACGTGATTGGAGTCGGATACAGTTAAAGGTTCGGGCGAAGACTCTGACAACGGTCTATTGTTTGTTGGCGGTAAGGAAGTTAGGTAACGTGATTGGAGTCGGATACAGTTAAAGGTTCGGGCGAAGACTCTGACAACGGTCTATTGTTTGTTGGCGGTAAGGAAGTTAGGTAACGGGATTGGAGTAGGATACAGTTAAAGGTTCGCCCGAAGACTCTGACAACGGTCTATCGTTTGTTGGCGGTAAGGAAGTTAGGTAACGTGATTGGAGTAGGATACAGTTAAAGGTTCGGGCGAAGACTCTGACAACGGTCTATTGTTTGTTGGCGGTAAGGAAGTTAGGTAACGTGATTGGAGTCGGATACAGTTAAAGGTTCGGGCGAAGACTCTGACAACGGTCTATTGTTTGTTGGCGGTAAGGAAGTTAGGTAACATGATTGGAGTAGGATACAGTTAAAGGTTCGGGCGAAGACTCTGACAACGGTCTATTGTTTGTTGGCGGTAAGGACGTTACGATGCGAGATGCTGGTCACGAAATTGGTCACTTAATGCTAGAAACGAGGAATATGATATGCACATATCTTTGAGTAAGTTGACTACGTTGCGATGCCATTTGGGAGATCATGGTAGTATTGTACACACATAATCGATCACGCTTCACCAACAATCTCTCACTTTACATGGCACATAATATGTTTACAGAAACACACTCGCTAATCATCGGCTCGATATCGGAAGGCCTCCAAATTACTCGAGGCCGAGAGCCGATTTGTTCAAGGCAATAATAAAGCGATGAATGAAACGATAAATTAACCGGAAGTTCATTTGTATCGGATACCCATTATCCAAATATGCTATATTCTGTAAGTTCCGGTACATTCAAACATTGGTTTCCGTTTATTGAATTGTAGCACATATAAAAGAGAGCGATTTACGAGAGCAGTTAAGACTTCTGTGTGGTCGGGTGATGGTGTAAAGTACCAAAACAAAGCGGCTATTTAGTCACACGGTAATGAGGAAAGCCGATAGTTGTGAGAAGCGTAAATATGGCACATACTCAATTTCTACCACACAAACCTTTATCACGGAACGTATACACGACGCGTTCAAGAAATAACTGACGTATTTTAAAATTTATTCCTGATATGACCGAATAATTAAACATCTAGATGTACACAAATTGTGTAGAAAGATGAATTTTTAGATCATATGACGCACTTCCGTAATGCAGACAATTCAGTTGTATTAAACTTCATCAATCCCTCCCTTATCGATAGCACGATGCTCGATGTGTCCTGCGTCAATCGGTTAGAGTGTTTGTACAGACAATAGATCACTGAAACTGGAACAAAACGTCAGCCTAGTGAAAAGGTCACGATCATCAATTAATCATTTAATAAGGGTAGTGTTTTATCCGGAGACTCTAGAATTTCGGTATGATAGCCATCTGATCAGGGTAATTGTCTGATGCACATGCCAACCTAGTCACCGACAGTGGTAGTTTGCATTCTGATGTAGGCGTTAGTAAAACTCCGGTCAGAGTACGGACCCCGTCATGGAGGAAAACAATGTTTTCCTTTCCTGATTCTTATCACAATCCTGATGTTTTGATTAATATAAAACATCAAGAAAATACTAACTTAAATTTAACTTAAATTCAATGAAGCTAGGACAAGCTATTAATAAAAGAAAGATTTACACGGAGACTGATTAAAACGGTCGAGAATATAGACCAGGTTCTCCTTGTTTCATGCACTACTTAAGAAACGCACTCAATATTTCTTTCGTAAAAAGAAGAAAATATCCCCTTTGTTTATCTATAGGTAATTACCAGCCAACCATCGTTATATCGCTTTGCTGTATGTAAGTCTAGATTGTACTAAAATTAGCTTTTTTTACTTTTTTCCACGACGTACTTTCTACCATCTTTGGATATTCCCTTAAAGTCGTTTAAGGCTGTTATTTCCCGAAAAATAAGAACTTATATCTTACATCTGAAATGCAGATATTGGCGTTATGTCGATGAAAACAGCATTTCCTGACAAGTTGTCTTTGTAAATATTATGTCATTTTTTCTTTACTGATAGTGGTTTCATGAAGACTCACTTTTGTTTCTTCTTTGAAATACCAGTAATATTTTGGTTTCAGAGATTGGTATGATGCTCCAGAAGGGATTCTGGGAACTAGACTACAACAGTAAGAGTTTTGACGACAGTATGACACTGTGGCCATACAAAGCAGGCGAGGCTCTACACGAGGAGGACTCGGACAATTGTATAGCGGAGTTCTTCGGCACGGGGTAAGTGGGTGGGGTCAGTGCAAGTACCGACATATGTCACCAGGAGTTTTTTTCATGTGTTCGGTAGGCGTAGTTGTTTGGTTATTATATTTCTAGCAAATCAAACATACCTTTATTTGCATCAGTATACACAAGCTTATTTCACTAGTTGATTTTTTTACGTTGCCGAACATAGGCAATATGACTTGTTTACTTAACCTTTGATTTATGTGTGTTAGGTGGGTGTAACTATAGGTGATAAGGGGTCATAGTATGCAGCGTATCTAATAGTTAATGTAAAATCATTAATATTTGTGAGAAACTTGTTTTTGACCATTTCGTGTGCACTCTAAATCCATTTATACACGAAATGGGAAAACTAGCCTAAGTGGATGAACTGAGTTATATTTATCCAAAAATCAAGTGCGCATGAAATGTTTTTTTTCTTTGTTTTTCAAATTGTTTTTATCTAAGTATGTAAAATTGTGAAAAATTCAAATGTTTTGAAGAATATCAACCCGTCTATAAAGAGTCACAACGGAAGTCTTTCTCACAAGAACAGTGTATTGAAAAATGTATTTTTCCCCCCAAGAAAACTTATGTTGTTAATGAGTGAGTATGAAGATACTAACACTATGATTGTAAATAATCGCTTGCTTATGATAATATACTTGTATATCACAATGACTACCACTACTCATGATTTATATACACATTGAATATTTTCTAACCTCGGAACAACCTTACATAAGACAAAAAACAACAACAACAACAGTCGAATAGTCTTATCATATTCATGAAGCTCGTTATTTCACAACCAGATTTTAATTTCGCGTACAAACAATATGATCGCAAAGTGTTAAGTAATTCATTATAATATAAAAAGGAAAATGCGAATTCTTTTTTCATGACATCACGAAGATAATAAATTTACGTTATTCAACTTTTTATGGAAATATCTTGAAATATATCTCCCTCTGATCAGAAGGAAATTTATAGGCACACCTTTACACTGACATAGTGGATGTCTAGGGAATTCCTTTGTCTTCAATCAACTTTCCAGTTAATCATTTCTCCCATATCAATCTATTTTTAATCGCGTTTTGAAAATCTAAGTAAGGGACGACAAAAAATTGATTCCCATGGCGGTCTTTTCACACTTTAAGTTATCAACAGCAATGACCTAGTTCTATCGCAATTTCGAAACAAATACATAATAGATAACCAGCACTAATATAAATTCATTGTGAAATACTTCTCTTGTTGGTGCACCAGTTAATCCAGCAGTAGCACAATGATCAGCTGTTGTAATAAATATAAAATATACATGATCATTGATGCTTTCACCAGTGTAAATCATGGTTATAATCAATTGCCACATTAACGGGTGACTATGAATCCCCGATCGGTGGACCAGGAGACAGTGATCGATAGATCTACCACGCCATACAAGTGGAGTCTATTCACGACCGAAACTGGTTTAAATCAAAATTTTTTTTATATATATATATATTAATGATAATAAGAAATATACCGTGAAAATGTCGAGTTGATTATCCATGCTTGAAAGAACGTTACTGGAGTAAGAAGAAAAACATTCTTCGAAACGTATAGAAAAGAAATCTTACGGCACAGTGCAAACCGGATAAGAAAGAAGACATATATTTAATCACAGCTCTTTTTCAGATCCAATACAGGCGGATGTGTATTAGCATGTTAATTGTGTTGTGGCCGTGTCATGGAAAAGTCACGTTTCCACATATGGCTACGTATAATGTCATGTATTAAGAGCGGGACTGACGTTGATCTGACGTGCTTTATCTGGTCTCGACATACCTTTGGTCCTATCTTAGACACACACATGTTCAGATATATGTATTGTCCATAAATCAGCAACGAGAAATGTCTTTTTAATCTTACCTGTGTCCTGTGCGTTAAACAGATGGACATGACGTTCTGAAATGGTTTGGCAGCGATTGTCATTAATTAAACATGGTCGCTGTTAATATCAGAAACTAATCGTTCACGTGCACTAAGCATATCTGATAAATGTATTGCGTTTGAACACAGTGGCATTTGACGGAACTAATTTTACTGCTTCGTTTTTCTGCTCCGTTTCTCGCGATTCCAAAATAATGTTGTTGATAGGTTGCAATGGGTAGGCCCTATATCGAATGGCAATTATGTGTATTGAGGGCAAGAATTGGTGGACGATGGACACCGGGTCATTGGTTGTCAGATCTGCGGTTAGTAACTTCTTTTAGCACATCAATCTTACCAGCAAATTCCAAGCCGTCCATTGGATTATGGTCTTCAAGTGAGGACAGGATTGAAAAGACAAAACATGAAAATGACATTCACTATTCAACAGAGATTTAAACTGCATCACAGCCGTTTTTCCATCTAGGATTCGTCCGTGATGCTGAGGAACTAATATGTTAAAACTTAAGAGGTTACGGAGAAAACTGGTTTGAAAAAAATGTCCCGTTTTACGTGTAACCAGTGAATTATCACTCATTTTCATCCATATCCAAATATTTCCAAATATTCTTGGGAGAGTGAATAATCTGATGGTATCGTTGTCTGATGTTCCAGATAAACATTGTGGTATCTAGTGTATTTGTTAGCGACTACCTCAGATACACAACTATGAAGGGTGACACGAAATTCTAACTTACTGTTGAATTATTAGATATGAAATCGTTTGCGACATATGTTACACGAAAATCGTTAACAGGAATGTGGCTTTTTTTACATGGAAATCAAACTGTTTATTACAGTAAAATAGATACAAAGTTAAGATATGGCTTCTACAAACAATAATATACAACAGAGTGATGAATACAAAACAATTCAGCAATTCTATTCTCGATTTTTGTTTCTTCTGGTCACGAAGCTATTTATATATACAATGAATATATTTCTGTTCTATAAAACAAAGTCACAATGATCCGTGAATGATGAGGAGTTGAAATATCTATTTTAAAATTGAATATAAGATACATTCTTAAGCATATTAATCATCTAAATTTAATGGTTCGTCATTTTTGAGAAAATAGTTTCAGTTCTCTTATAACATAATGAATCGCGTTTAAACTCGAAGCTATGACGATTCAAAGCAATTTATGATCTACAAGGGAGTCATTCTAATGTTCCAAATTATAGAGTCTGATAAATCATACAACGACGTCTTCACACAGTCAACACTGAACATCTATTCCATATACCACAAGGCAATATGACGGCAAATTGACGATTTCAATGTCACGCGACTTTTGGACCGCCAAGAAGATTATGTAACAGGTCTATCTTAAGTCTGAGACTGAGCGTTTTTAATGCGTACGTAAACAGTCTGGTTTCATTCCGTACGGAATCAAGGAATATCTAATTCTCGTAAATAAACGAATGCGACCTGAACCATGTGCGAATTCTTATATTTCCTACGTGTCGCTCTTTTTTCTTAGGATATTCACTGGAAAAAAATAACCCTGGAATGCTTCTGTACTTCCCAAATAGCTATAGTTGACGTTAAAGATGGAACATTCCAACGAACTCAGCATTGTTTCAACCACCGAAAGGCGGAATCTTTAAACAGAATTAAAGAAATAATATCTACATATGTTCTCGTATAAATTTGTAAATATCGATCTATTTGAATTTCGAAAGTACATATATTTCATATATATATATTATTATAGACTTCCGAAATGAAACCTGTCACATACTTGATTTTAGTACCTTTGTCATGAAGGTGGTACATATACTATGAATAAGAAGTGACAATTTATGTCCTCAACCCAAAAGACCATTAGACATACAATGTCGGTATGATTCAGTTACATATATTTAGGACATATCATATATATGCGCCTGACATACATGGTATATTACCAACTGATATATAAAGCATACATCGTTCCATTTACGCCGTTAATAGTGAGACCAATCTGTGTTGGAGGATTCCTCATGGTCCAAACTAGCAGTAAATGTGTCACAAACTAAGGCATTTATTTCACTATTTTCCGTTCGCTTTTAGTCGTAGAAGTATTAACGCTAAGACATCTACACTACGAGTGTTTTAGTCAGGGATGTGCTTCCCGCAATACAAACACTGAGATAGGATAATTAAACAGACTATCGAACCTTCGCTGTATTACCAGGAACACGTTGGAACATTACATAACTTTCATTGACATGATAATACACAACCGGTTATGACGTTGATAATGTTATTCCAAGTGTTCCCTAACGCCACCTAAATATTAATAATATTACAACATATACCACTAAACCTGAAAAAAATACGCCTCCGTGAAGATTCCGATTTGGCCAATGAATCTATTGCACGTGAATGACTCGTCAGACGTCGTTCTGACAACAATGGGATAACAGGAATGGCAAGTGTCGATACTGTCCATCAGTATTACATTTTGCGCGTGTTCCGTCAGTAAACAGCCGACGGTGTTCGTACCTCGATATTACCATTTTGTAGAATAAAACCTATACTTAGATAACTCAAGATTAAATTCATTTGACATTTTGGACAGCACTTTCGAGTAGACTTAAGTGACTAAGTATATAAATTTCTGGAATACATAAGAAAATACGTTTCCATGACATTCAGATCTAGGACCCAAATGCATTGCCGAGAACTGTTCCCAATACAACAATATTTGTTCCTAACATAGCGTCTAAAATGTAGAAATATTGGAAACTGATTCGCAGGCCTCCATCAAAATACGCTCGACAATATCTCAGATAATCCGGTATCGGGAGTTAATTGCTTTGGAATAAGGACGTAAAAGGAACACATTCATTTCAGTTCTCCGTAATAGTGTATCAACTGATGCTTTGGAAAACGTACGTAAAAGGAACTTATACATTTCAGTCCTCCATAATAATGTATTAACTAATGCTGTTCAACAAGCAGATCATGATGACCTTTTACATTTTTCATAAACATAAGTAGTCTCTTTACATATTTGGTCTTTAAAGGAATACATAGCAATGCGAGACTGATATTTTTACCTATAAGGAATAGATTGTACTGTATGTATTCCTGGACCAAAAGGTGTACATCGTACTACAGACAGACCTATTGTTCTATATGATACCAACGCTAGTTGTTGTGAACGTTACATAAAGCACGTGCTTGAGATGTTCCCGTGGAGATGTTTACTGCATTTTACTTCATAAAGAAGAATTGGAAATTTAATAGCGAGCATAGCTCGAGGGGCCCCACAGGGACCGCAGGCAAAGAAAGCCCTAAATATAACAAGTGCGAAGAGAAAATGAAGTGAAAAAAATCACACATACTATCAGTCATGAAGTTGTGACACGGAAGTGGAGTTCCCTGTGATGTTTTGAACCAATGGAGGATATCAACATGGCAGATATAGCAACAAATAGTCTCGTTCACCAAGGCGCTTAGTAATTAGTATCTTATCCGCCAAACCTACAGAGGTAATACGAAAGAATAAGCTGAGAAAAAGAAAAACATCATGAACTAGTTAGGCACACAATAAATATTCAAGAAAACAATCAAGAATTCTTCAAACTTTATGTTAAATACGTAATGTCGCAAAATATTTTGTCGCGGTTGTTTACCACAATGAAATACATCAGTGATATTACTACGCTCGTTCTAAATGGCTGAGCCATAGTTCATATCATATTTGAAATATTACAATCTACACGTCATGGACTACTGTACAATGCTAGTGTTTGTTCTGAAACAACATGTCACAGAGTTATTTTCGTAGCGTACGTAATTAAGTGTTCCATGTGACCTTTTACTGTAGTTAAACGGTGATGTCTGTCCTAAACCGAACAAACTCTAGTTCACACTTCCGGTGGTATCGACCGGGAGGGTTAACCAATGAAGTCATACGGAGACACTTCCGGTCGTAACGTCATTCTTCACGCCACTGCTATCCAGACACCGGGGGAGGGCAAGACGTTAGACTTATCCTGGCGCGTTGTCTATAAACTGAATGATCGTGTTCCTCGCTGGCTTCATACCTTTATAAATAACACACTGTAGTAATGTATATTTTAGGAGTTCAGTAATTAATTTAAAATAAATCGTTACTTTCCGTTTCCTTTAAAAACCCCACACTGGTGTAGCATTGACATTTATCCCATGTGTACAAGAATGTACAAGATTTCCGCAGATTACACACACAGTTAGACAGACAGGATTACAAATTACTTGTCATGGTTTAATCTTATTGATAGTATCATTTACTTCACTTGTAGGAAGCGTACCAAGAACACGTGTGTCATCTCCAGAAGGTGCTGGGAATCCATGACGTCACCTCTTTACAATGGGTACTCTCTATCACACGAAATATTCTACTTACAAATAGGAAGACAGGTAGCGCATTTCTTGTAACAGCCTTTTCTACAGCAATAGAAAATAATAAAGTGTGGAAATTATTTAATATCAGATTGATAAATGCTTTTGAAATTCGACATTTTTTTTATGTCAAACTGCATCTTATAAACTTTGTTAATAATGCATGTTTTGTCTATACTGTACATCATTCGAACGCTATACAAATTAAGTATACTATTGAGATACGGATACTTTGATTCGGTTTAACCTATTTGTGTCGTGTTTATCGTTTAGTTTGGTTGTGGGGCTGAAATGGAAATGATGCGCTTGGCAGCAGGTCAGGAATCCATAGAGAAAATGCAGGACGATTTTTGCGCCAACATGATGAATGAGGCCACTATTATCGCAAAGGAGGGATTCCCTGAACGAAAACAGGATCTCTTCATGGAACAAGGTACTGCACTCACAAGAGTTCACTTATAGTTCAACCTATGCGTTATCTACTCTCTGTAGTAGAAAACATTTGCCATCAATTCATTATCAAACGACTCAATCTTGTCCCAGAAACATTCTTGTTGAATATATTATGAATATATTATATAAGTATCTAAAACTTATCATAGCTTGATGTTTTTCCGAAGCCGTATAGTCCCTCTATGCATAAATTGTCTTTAATATGATAGCACTTTCCTAACTGGTAATCCGAACTACGTGCTACTTAATATCACAAAGTAACCGTTATTATTTGATGTCACGTGCGGTCATCCGTATTGCTTAGTACCGCGTCGTTGCTTGAAATGACGATATCTGCTACTTTACATCTCTGATTGGGAATCTATGGATTTTCTATTATATAAACCTTAATGACATGTATTTATACATGAATTCATTGCAACACATTTTTGCATTTTAGCGGCATTATGTGGAATGCTGGGATACAGACAATTCTTTACCTCTGATTGGCTGGAAAATATCTTGAGTTGGCAAGACCACAAAACTGGGTGTTACAAGGGGAACCCAGTAAGGGAGACAGATGTCGGTAAGTTGACAGTGAAGTCAAACCACTCCAAGTGATGTCAATGGTTTCCAAATGACTTTGCAAACACACGTCAAAATTATCCACATTATTTAAATATGTGTATAATATAAATATCTGTTTTATCTATATTTGCTCGTCAGACATTTGGGGAACCTACTCGGATACATTCTTTGTTGTGTCGTTTGATGCATTATTTCAGCACCCATAGCTACCCAGTTGCAATAAAAATGCAATCAACACACATAACTTGATTTTTTTTTCAAATTGATCTTTATAACATAATTTAGAACTCTCTGCGGCTATGTACAAAATTAACCCCGAAGTGGGGCCCATCAGACTGCATTTCGTGTTTTGGACTGCTAACTCTCGGAGCAGCCATTTATCGACATATGATTGATGACTTCCTTGGGACTAACTTGGAGACAGAAAGGTCAAACATTAGCAGTGCTGTAGTAGCCTCTCCGGCGGACAGTACACAGCCGACAGTGATGCGGAAGTCCTAGGGAGATCCGCTAGGTGTCGCCACCGGCAGGTCCGTCACCATTATTGATAGTTGAATCAGAGACAATTGAAACGCTGACTTATCACTTTATCACCTAATCAGATATCAAAGATATGTCTTCCTGGAGCCTTACGAGTACAAGTTTCGGTTAACACAACCATGGAACAAAGTCGTCCGTTAATTTTCAAGTTTGAGTGTCATCTTCATTTGTTATTTCTAAAAAAGACAAAATATTCTCAAATAGTCCGGTAAAGATCTGTTGAGATCAGTACATCAATTGAGAGTTGTGACGGTGTCTAAGCCAAATGACTGGTTTGATGATAATCGATAGGAATTTGACGTCTCTTACTGCCCCGAGGACCTGTAAATTTATCTCTCCTAGACTCGTTTCATCTTCATCCGATCCCTGCGTGTCTCATGAGACGCCCTAACTCGATAATTAATGTTCTTTATCTCAGTAAACACAACTAAGGCGCGGAAGATATGAAACAGATAACCCATTTAATATCGAAATCAATGATTAATACTTCTACAAACCTGGCTGCCTCACCCTGTCCAAGAACTGACGCTAACTGACCCCGCCCGAGAGTCCAACGTCACACCTCGCATTATCACATCACCACACACCGATCTCAGGTATCATGTGACGTGTCATCCGGCACGGAGTCTTGGTTCGATTCCCAGAAGGCCTCAAACTAACGTAATGTTTTACTAATCATAGTTCCACAGTGCCGTCAAATAAAGAGTGTCTTGCAATAGAGTCCTCTTTTCTGACATCAACTTGATGTAGACGTCTAGAAAGGTAAATGGTAATTGTTAAAAGACGAAAGTTAGTTTTCATGCTCATGAACGAAATGTGATAAGAACAAATTATGGCTTTGTATGGAATTGTGAAGTTTACGCAACTACAATTATATGAGTATGGTATTTTCACTACAGAATTGAAAAAAAAAACGCGCTTGGAAGTTCTACCCGATCGAATTCCATCAACGCACCCTGACCGGGACGTATAGATATACAGTCAGAATAACAGAGATTTATTCTTTATTCCTTTAGACGCTATGTGTCTGTAAGTTATCTAGAGCGGTGATATTTGTTAAATATATCTAGACGAATGAAAGCTAGCAACTCGAACCGATGCAGCAACGTTTTAATATATCTTTATATTTTATTTCTTGTATAAAATCTTGATGTAAGGAAACGGGATTTTTTGACCTCAAGAAATCGGAAGTCTGAGATGAATAATTTCCAGTGATATCAAAATATATATATCTTAAGCAATTAAATGTTTTTAGGAGGAGAGGATGCTTCTGAACTATGCCTGTTCCCATATTTCCAATTAAATGAGATCTTTCCATAGAATGATTTGACAGTTCAATGTTTTTGATACCAAATAATGAATTTTGTAGCACTAGGCTGTGAAAATAGCGGAGAATATACAAATTTACAAATGAGATCTCTATTATAATTTTGATTTACATTTTCCATAGCTGTATTTGGTTTTGCTGGCTTTGATGAAAAATGTATTAGATAAAAAGCTGCACGACATTTTTTGTTTGTTTCCGTTTGTTGGCAACGTCGAAAGTGTTTAGGAGAGTAAATTGTCACAAAACAATAGAACGGGAGTTTGACTTTACAGAATTAAAAAGTTTTATCAGGCAAAGAACGGAATAAAACCATTATATTAAAGTTGTTGTGAGAACAAGAGCAGTATATCAGACCCGAGGAACTTTAAGGAGACTGTTGTTGCCGCCATGCTTCTGACGGTCCCCGGCACAGACATGAAATAGTGAAATATATGTATACATGGCTGTCTGATTAAATACTGGCAGGCAATCGTTCGTGAATGTCTTAATTTATCGTGTTCGTGTTATGCAAGAAATTCGTAAATTCAGTGTAATATAAAGACCTTGGTTTATGTTGTAGAATACCGTGGGACAAAGCCTCGCATTCGGAACAAGCGAGAAGAACGTCTTCTGGATCACGGATGTCTCTGTCACCGGACCACTGTGGCTGTGGCCGCTCTCGGCCAGTACATCCGATACATGTTGGAGTTCGCCGCCTTCGAGAGAGATATGGACAACTGAAAAAAACACACAAAAAAACTAAAATTTTGTGGAAAAACTTACCAAATCAATTTATGTATAACCTATACATCGAGATACTGAGACTGTAGTGATTTTCAATTTCTCTGTAGAGGTTACGTCTTCGGAGACGTATAAAGAAACAACTATAAGATATGTAAACAATTGCACAAAGATGAAGAGATAAACAGATTTGTATTGAAGAGTGGTTATCTCTAAACAAGTTTTAAATTTGACTATGGGTGAGGTTGTGTGAGATAATCATATCAAATCCCAAGTTTACATTTTAAAGTTAACCTCCGTAGAACTGTGTCCTACCTACCGTCCATTCTTCTCATATCAAAATTCCTACATTAACGATAAACCTGTTTGTGTGTTGTTCTTAACATCGCACAGGCAGACAGAATGTCATTGTTGTACCCTTTTACGGTGCACCGTTATAAAACACTTCATTTGTATCACCCATGATTGTTATAAAACACTTCACCTGTATCACACGATTGTTATAAAACACTTCACTTGTATCACACATGATTGTTATACAACACTTCACCTGTATCACACATGATTGTTATACAACACTTCACCTGTATCACACATGATTGTTATACAACACATCACCTGTATCACACATGATTGTTATACAACACTTCACATGTATCACACATGATTGTTATAAAACACTTCACCTGTATCACACATGATTGTTATACAACACTTCACCTGTATCACACATGATTGTTATACAACACTTCACCTGTATCACACATGATTGTTATAAAACACTTCACCTGTATCACACATGATTGTTATACAACACATCACCTGTATCACACATGATTGTTATACAACACATCACCTGTATCACACATGATTGTTATACAACACTTCACATGTATCACACATGATTGTTATAAAACACTTCACCTGTATCACACATGATTGTTATACAACACTTCACCTGTATCACACGATTGTTATAAAACACTTCACCTGTATCACACATGATTGTTATACAACACTTCACCTGTATCACACATGATTGTTATACAACACTCCACCTGTATCACACATGATTGTTATAAAACACTTCACCTGTATCACACATGATTGTTATAAAACACTTCACCTGTATCACACATGATTGTTATACAACACTTCACCTGTATCACACATGATTGTTATACAACACATCACTTGTGTCACACATGATTGTTATAAAACACTTCACCTGTATCACAACTTCACCTGTGACACACGTGATCGTTATACAACACTTCACCTGTATCACACGATTGTTATAAAACACTTCACTTGTATCACACATGATTGTTATACAACACATCACTTGTATCACACATGATTGTTATACAACACTTCACCTGTATCACACATGATTGTTATACAACACTTCACATGTATCACACATGATTGTTATAAAACACTTCACCTGTATCACACATGATTGTTATACAACACATCACCTGTATCACACATGATTGTTATACAACACTTCACATGTATCACACATGATTGTTATAAAACACTTCACCTGTATCACACATGATTGTTATACAACACTTCACCTGTATCACACATGATTGTTATACAACACTTCACATGTATCACACATGATTGTTATAAAACACTTCACCTGTATCACACATGATTGTTATACAACACATCACCTGTATCACACATGATTGTTATACAACACATCACCTGTATCACACATGATTGTTATACAACACTTCACCTGTATCACACATGATTGTTATACAACACTTCACCTGTATCACACATGATTGTTATACAACACTTCACATGTATCACACATGATTGTTATAAAACACTTCACCTGTATCACACATGATTGTTATACAACACTTCACCTGTATCACACATGATTGTTATACAACACTTCACATGTATCACACATGATTGTTATAAAACACTTCACCTGTATCACACATGATTGTTATACAACACATCACCTGTATCACACATGATTGTTATACAACACATCACCTGTATCACACATGATTGTTATACAACACTTCACATGTATCACACATGATTGTTATAAAACACTTCACCTGTATCACACATGATTGTTATACAACACTTCACCTGTATCACACGATTGTTATAAAACACTTCACCTGTATCACACATGATTGTTATACAACACTTCACCTGTATCACACATGATTGTTATAAAACACTTCACCTGTATCACACATGATTGTTATACAACACTTCACCTGTATCACACATGATTGTTATACAACACTTCACCTGTATCACACATGATTGTTATAAAACACTTCACCTGTATCACACATGATTGTTATACAACACATCACCTGTATCACACATGATTGTTATACAACACATCACCTGTATCACACATGATTGTTATACAACACTTCACATGTATCACACATGATTGTTATAAAACACTTCACCTGTATCACACATGATTGTTATACAACACTTCACCTGTATCACACGATTGTTATAAAACACTTCACCTGTATCACACATGATTGTTATACAACACTTCACCTGTATCACACATGATTGTTATACAACACTCCACCTGTATCACACATGATTGTTATAAAACACTTCACCTGTATCACACATGATTGTTATAAAACACTTCACCTGTATCACACATGATTGTTATACAACACTTCACCTGTATCACACATGATTGTTATACAACACATCACTTGTGTCACACATGATTGTTATAAAACACTTCACCTGTATCACAACTTCACCTGTGACACACGTGATCGTTATACAACACTTCACCTGTATCACACGATTGTTATAAAACACTTCACTTGTATCACACATGATTGTTATACAACACATCACTTGTATCACACATGATTGTTATACAACACTTCACCTGTATCACACATGATTGTTATACAACACTTCACATGTATCACACATGATTGTTATAAAACACTTCACCTGTATCACACATGATTGTTATACAACACATCACCTGTATCACACATGATTGTTATACAACACTTCACATGTATCACACATGATTGTTATAAAACACTTCACCTGTATCACACATGATTGTTATACAACACTTCACCTGTATCACACATGATTGTTATACAACACTTCACATGTATCACACATGATTGTTATAAAACACTTCACCTGTATCACACATGATTGTTATACAACACATCACCTGTATCACACATGATTGTTATACAACACATCACCTGTATCACACATGATTGTTATACAACACTTCACCTGTATCACACATGATTGTTATACAACACTTCACCTGTATCACACATGATTGTTATACAACACTTCACATGTATCACACATGATTGTTATAAAACACTTCACCTGTATCACACATGATTGTTATACAACACTTCACCTGTATCACACATGATTGTTATACAACACTTCACATGTATCACACATGATTGTTATAAAACACTTCACCTGTATCACACATGATTGTTATACAACACATCACCTGTATCACACATGATTGTTATACAACACATCACCTGTATCACACATGATTGTTATACAACACTTCACATGTATCACACATGATTGTTATAAAACACTTCACCTGTATCACACATGATTGTTATACAACACTTCACCTGTATCACACGATTGTTATAAAACACTTCACCTGTATCACACATGATTGTTATACAACACATCACCTGTATCACACATGATTGTTATACAACACTTCACCTGTATCACACATGATTGTTATACAACACATCACCTGTATCACACATGATTGTTATACAACACTTCACCTGTATCACACATGATTGTTATACAACACTTCACTTGTATCACACATGATTGTTATAAAACACTTCACCTGTATCACACATGATTGTTATAAAACACTTCACCTGTATCACACATGATTGTTATACAACACTTCACCTGTATCACACATGATTGTTATACAACACATCACTTGTGTCACACATGATTGTTATAAAACACTTCACCTGTATCACAACTTCACCTGTGACACACGTGATCGTTATACAACACTTCACCTGTATCACAACTTCACCTATGACACACGTGATCGTTATACAACACTTCACCTGTATCACAACTTCACCTGTGACACACGTGATCGTTATACAACACTTCACCTGTATCACAACTTCACCTCTGACACACGTGGTCGTTATACAACACTTTGTCTGTATAACCTTGACTGTTATACTACAGTTCACCACTACCATCTGTGACAGTTAGACCAAGCTTTACGTGTATTACACTGTAAGCTTTTGCTAAAGGTATTCAGATTCAGTCAGAACAATGGTGGAACCCGTTATATTTGTCTATTTTGCCTTGAATACCCCCTCAATAATAAGATTATTAACTTCATCCCCTCATGTATGGGGTACCACACCTGACATTCCAAATAGATCTGATGTTAAGCTCCTAAACCTCCATAAGTACCCCATTTCCCTAAAATCTGTGACCTCCACCATCGATACTAACTTTTGATCCTGTGCAGTAGCCAAACTTTCTACTGCTGCGTCAAAACGCCCTGCTAATACTTGTTGTCTTCACTGTTGTCAACAAAGTAATAACTCCCTCCCACTACCGTGTTTAAAACAGCTTAATGACAAACCCCTCGTGACTGTAACTGTGTTATGTACATGCGACAATGAATTTTGTAGTGTTGACATCCTTTTCAACAGCTGAGTGAACGTATCTCTCATCTACAAATCCACAGGGACAGAATCACGGCTTACATCATGACTTGTGTTGGCTCCAACGCTTTCAACAACACGAAACACAGGTGTGCAACAGTAAATATCAATAAATTAATTGTTAAAAAGCTCTATTGTAACTTTATTTTTAAAAATTTTAACATTAGCAAATGGAAATTTAACTGCTCAAACCGTTTGTGTTTGCCTTGACTCGTGGTGGTTATACAAAGCGATATG